CATATTTGTCCAAAAGTTCAATTAATACAATATAAGGTTTACAGTTCCTAAGGCTCAATGGTCTTAATCTTATGGTTTAAGTCTTGAGATTCCCTGACCCACCTTCATCAATGCCAAAGTTCAACGGGAACACTTTCAATATTCGACTCGACCGCGAAAAACCAGACCTGAATTTTGGTGTTTAATGAAGGTAGCCCACTAAAATACCAACTTGGGAACTATTGACACTTGCAAACGAAAAACTGAGATATTTCATTATTTATCCGATTATATATATATATATATATATATATATATATATATATATATATATATATATATATAAACTGAATATGGTATATGTACAGTACACACTATAGTTGTATGTAAACCCAGCATGATATTGGTATTCTCGATGTTTGGCCATGATTATGTGATGTACATTTTGGCGTATGAGCATGGATAGGTGGTACTCTGGTGTGTATATATTTTTCACCATCCATATCCCTTACCCATATGCCTTCAGTAGCCCTTAGGGCTAGTGATGCTTAAAGGCGGCAGCACACTGGGCACTTTCCCCAAAACATGTATCCCGTTTTCCCGGCCGTTGGCCTGACGGCTCAACAAGCAACAGGATTTGTTGTGAGCAATGGACAACGTTTTGGCGGGAATCTTTGCTGGCCGGATTAGTGCTCAAATGAGCTTCATATAATTTCAAGTAAAATTTAAAAAAAAACACGAAACAATAATAATCTGGTAAAATTGCAGATTACAGCAACCAAAGAATCTGATCTGAATTCCCGGTACTCTGTGCTTGCTAACTTATACAATATAACCAAACTAAACTTTACCTAACCCCCTAGCCACCCTAGCCGGGGGCTTTGCCTCCGGACCCCCAAACGCTGTCATAACCCAGAGTCGTGTGGTCAGCCTCCATGAGAATATAAATAGCCGTTACAGTATTTCTAACCTTCGAGTCAGACCGGAATGCGTCGTGGGTTACTCTGTTCTCTAAAGTTTCCTTATTTTTAGAATGAAATAATACAATAAACTTCCAGTAATCGAAATCGCACCCAGCACATAATGGCTCCATATTGCAATTGATTCGAATTGTCCTCCTTGCTACTACCCACGCAGAATATCGAGCGCTAATTGGTTAAATCAAATGTTGCGATTTTTTATTGGATTTGATTGGATGCCTCCCCCTATTACAAAGCCTAATGCATTCTCCCTGCAATCTGGCAAGCCCGCTGCCTTTTCAAGTCTCAAGATCCCCCCCCCATTCATTTCTTTCCCTGACTCTACGTGATATGCCTATCATCTTTCCAGGCGTCTTAGAATAGTAATTTATCTACCAATCCTGCATTCAAAATTAAATAGGTTAGTTTTACACCCATTAGTAAATTTTCATATCACCCACTTTTCTTCGTATAAAGAAAATGTTGCTCTGTATACTGGTACAGTACCCATTTCTAATCCAAAGGCACTCCTGCCTATTTCGAATCGTTCTTTATGCTCGCTTAACACTTTTTACAAGGCGATTACAATCCCACCCTCTCATATTTTTCTTTTCAGCATTAGCTTTCATATTAGTAGTTCTGCCGAGTTTAATGCAAATGTTTCGCCATCAGCTAAACGAAGTTGGTTTAAGTTAGATAAGTATGTAGTACTTTACTGATATTTTCCACTGAAAAGTTTTTGACAAGTAAGTTAAATTATTTACAGGTTGGGAATATTTTATCAACCTTTCAACCTCGACCAAAAGATGTGCAAAAACTTTTATCAAATGTTGGGGTATTCACAAACTGCCATTATGACTACGCAATACGGTTCCATGACTAAACCCCAACGGGGTTGTCATTTGCCAACACTAACCTAACCTAAACATAAAAGTGTTTTATTTTATATTTTATGAGACTGGGGTTTTATCCGGTCACCAAGCAATACACAGACCATAGGCCTCCTTCCCTCAGCATGGCCACCTCTAGTGAGTGGCTATTAGGTAAACAAGGTAAGGTATATACATGCAATATGAAAAAGATGTTTGAAACTAAGACAAATTTTAGGCAAAAATAAGGATAATTTATTAAGGATATATTCTGAAATAATACTTCAGAATTTTAAAGATCAATACGGGCGACGAAGATTCGACAACTGGTTTGTATGTCAACTGTCACCGTGGCAACTGTATATTGTCTGCTGACAAAGTTTGAGTCGTTGATTTCGGTATTCCCGTTGATATTTGTCAAGTGTGACCTCTCCTGAGAAGCACCACAGATACTAGTACACAAATGACTTATAACACCCCCAAAACGGACTTGTTACCACAACACATCACACTCGTGTAAGGTATCGGTACATACAACTGTATTACACTTCATTGCATATCTTGCATTCATGCGTTTTTCTTATATTTTACTTATATAAATGTTGAATCACGAAATTCTGAAGTACCCGTGCATTTGGCGGTGATTTAGTATTGAGGCCCTTTTCCGTCAGGCTGCTTGCAGTTTCATTTTTTTTAACTGGTTGCAGGTATACGGCAGCCATACTGACGTACTTAATGGTACGACAGAGAATCGCGCATGCGCAAAAATGCGGTACGTTTGGGGGAGAGGTTAGGTTAGGCTAGTCATCGTATTAATTATCATAAAGGCCTTAGGCCCGTGTCCACTTGAGAGTAAAGTGCTGTCGAGTGCTGTCGACAGCACTACTATCAAGTGGACATGGCTCTGAGAGTAACTCAGATAGCTAAAGTTTACTGTCGGACAGCTACTCTGCTAGTTTGCTATTGTGTGGGCACATGGTAGCCCGCAACTATCACGTAAACTCTCAGGTATACGAACCAGGTTCGCAGTCTGACAGTGCTCTCGCGGGGTGAAGCATGGCCCTCTGGACTCAGGAGAAGACTTTTCAGTTGATATCCTTGTATGAAGAGAATCCTAATTTGTGGGATCACGAAAGGGAAGACTAACGCAATTAATTATTGGCATTGGACAGGATGTTTGGGTGTATTTTTGTTGTTTACTTACCTGATGCCAAAAACCGAAGCGTCACCATAACTCACTCGTGAACTTAAATGACTTCCCTCATCCGCATGGGCGTCCGCAGAAAAAAATGCAAGGGGGGGGGGGGCAATGTTATCCTGAATTCGACGTGTGAAGTGTGAAGACATCATTGACAATTTCGGAAGAGATCCCCGACGGCTCCAATTCCTGTTCCAAGAGTAGTAACCTGCTCTAACTGAATGAACTGTTGAGAAATGTTTATGTTATTTTATTCATTTTGTATTTTCCATGTAATTTTTTCAATTTTTTTTATTTTCCGGGGAAATGCCCCCCCCCTCCCTGCGGACGCCCATGCTCATCCGTGTCTCTCTTGAAAATTAATGGTCCAACCAATTTCACCAACTCTTCCACCTGAACTGCTGACGTACGGGTGAAACTACGGAACTGTTGAGCATCTTCTATCTGTAATTCTTTCAAAAGCCTGTTGTTAGCTCCAAATTCACCTCGACGTTCCACCCAGTGCTTTATCCAACACCTTTTTCTGTTTTTGCTTTTTCTCCAGTGTCAGCATAACTATTAGCACTGCAGCAAATTTTGTCACGTCCTCCACCACCCATTGCTACCGACTGACTGAGTCACTATAGTGTAGCTCTAGTCAGGTGGACACACCAGAGTTCTCTCCGCCGGCTACTGTCGGGAAGACCCTCGACAGCTGAAACTCGCAGAAGTTTGCTCTCATGTGGACACAGATGAGAGAACTATCGACAGTAACTATCGAGAGTCCGCTCTCAAGTGGAAACTGGCCTTAAGTTTGTAGTCAGTCCTCGCATGCGCATCGACGTTTCTCATACGGCTGCCGTACCAATTGATATCGACATTTCTCAAACAGCTGCTGTATCAATTGACATCGACGTTCTCATACGGCTGCCGTACCTATATCTTGAGCGTTTTAAAGTGGCAAAAAGAACCAAGCCCTAATATTAACCGTACCAAACTAAATTATAAGATTATTACATCAGGTCAGTAAAGTATAGTTTGATTCGTTCGTTTTGAGTCTTAAAAGTAATTTTGCACAACATTCATGTTTCCCAAAAAATGTATTAGTGGTTAAAATTAATGGCCAAATTGTCCTAGGAAGTTATTCAATTGACGTTTAATAAACTAAGCTATGTATTCTATTAATAATTTACCTTCGCATCTTTTTACCACCTTACCAGTAGTACCGCGTTGGAAACATCGCTTCTTCAGGTGCCCTTGGTAAAATTGACTAAATATCGAAAATTATAATCATTACCTATGGGCGGGGTAAAATTTATTTCATTACCAATTGTTTTTTCCAGAAATGTAGTTTTCTTCCCCTGGTAATTTGGTGCGATTCACTCGAATTTAAGTTTCACTTCCGTCGGAAATAAGTCGTTTTTGAGTTATCATCCCCCTCTCCCTTCCAACAATCTTGAGTGAACCTGCAATGATACCATGAGCTACCATAGAGGAAGTGAAGCTACTCAGTACAGTGGTGGTTTAACAGACAGGATGACTCGTCTACAAAAATAGTGATATTCTGGCTCACCGCCAACCTACTGTAACCAGTACCACAGACCACAAATTACCTTGGAGGCCTCTGGCAATAAATCTCACCGTTACAATATAAGAAAATATGTATTGTCAAAAATGTTTCATTGAAAGGGCTTCATATGTTCAAACATGTCAGTTGAACTGTGTCTGCCATGTCATACCTATAGCAAATGGTTAGGTTCTCAAGTTGTCTTACAACTGTCTGGTACATACCCAAAACATTATACCGTTTGCCATACTTTTGCTTATAGAGCGAGTTGTTAAACTCTTCAGTAATTAATTTCTGTGCATATCGTTCTGTTACATATTCAAATGATTAATTATTATTTCCCGTGTCCACGAAATAGATGCGAAGAACCACACCACTTTTTTCATGTCTAATTTAAGTCCAATTTTCTCGAAACTAACAGAATACATAATAATTCCCAAGCGTCTTACCTTGGAGCCGATCTGATTCCCACACTGCCCGGCCTGGAGGTGAACAATCTCCCTCATGATTGTGGTGAAGGAAACAATTGGAGGAGTATACCACGTGCGGAATCGATAGCGGCAGACACACGACTGAGGGGAGTGCCGGTGTCTTACCTCAGCCTCCTTTCCGCCCCGGAGTTCCCCGTTGCTCATAGATGGCACCACTAGCGGTCTGTTACACCACGATGAAATGTTTTGTGATCTTGAATTAAAAACGCACTACTTATCATTGATTTTATTCAAAACAGGTTATTCCTAGTTCCTCATTCTGTTTTACGGATTTTTTTTCTTTTTTTAAGAGTTATGAAATAACCTCTGTCGGAGTTTTGCTTCTCTACAACATAACCCCTAGCTCCGGGAAGCGCGACTCTGCGGCAGCCCGCAGAACCGGCACGTGAGGAAGATAAAAATACTGTGGAAGCTTCTCATGGGAACCTCCAGCGTGGACATCTTCCAAAGATATTTCCACGAGTTATAAGGCGGCAATTACTGAGTAATGAATGTTACCAATGGTAACATCTAAAATTCTCGTAGTTTACCAGATATCTCGCTCTAGAATGTAGAGTATATTAATTTTGGTGTAACGGATTTCGTGAAACCTACTTGTGATTCATATCATGAGGGCAAAAGAGAGGCTATATATATATATTTACATGAACACTGTCAATTTGATATTTAAATTCGATCTCATAATTCCTTCAACATATTTGAGGATGGATGAGAGTTATTACATATTATTAATTATAGTGAAAATAGCCCTTTACTCTTTACATTACATCTTTCGGTAATTTAAAGTGATTTTCCGTAACATGAAATGAATTCACAGTTTGCTGATGAGCAAACTTTCAAATAGTTGGGATAGTCATCTCTGGATATATTTGATAATTGATCATTTACATTATAAACTTATTTATTTATTAAACATATTTGTCACGATGAATCACGTCTTTTATTTATTTCATCAATGACCACCTTCAAGTAGGAATATATTATTGTGCGTAATCGATAAATTTCTTTCGATCAAATACATAATTAAGTGCCATCACCAGTATCTTTCCATCTTAGAATCCCATTCGATAAGTTCCTTTGCACTTTTGCAGTTTCCAAACCTTAACCCTGATATTTATAATCACTATACATACAGATCATCAATATTACGCAGTTGTGTTACCAATTCCACGGGCATCTCAATCGTGTGCTGACCTTGTGAACCCCATGAACTTTGAACTTTCCCTACTCAAAACAGTCAGTCATCCCTTGAAATTCTGTACTAAGCAATTAAAATTGGCGGCCATGAACTTTGCTGCTGCAACGGTCAATATGACATCATTGCTCAGTTCGAGAAGGGAAAAGGTTTTCCCCTCTCTCTCTCTCTCCAACAAAAGCCTTGTATAATGTATTATATCTTTCTCTCTCCAAAAAAAGCCTAGTACTGTATAGCACTATCTCTCTCTCCAAAAAATTAGGTTGTTCTCTAGTATCATAAAAACAGATACAGCTTAGTTCACCACAGTTCCTCTCAGAACAAACCTACAAATAGACCGATCACAAATTGGAGAGAATGTAGCATACAGCTACTCGTCTTCCCGCCATGCACTCACCAAAGCGCACCAGTCCGGTGCCCGCCACCCATCATACTGTACCTGCAACATGCAATTGAACTGTTACCCAGAGAGTGTCACTTCTCAACCAAATAATATGTGACATCATAGCCCGCCGAAACCAGAGTGTAGGCCTCTTATAAGACCCTGCCCGCCGGCACCATCACCCATTATGATGTTACTAACCTCTTTCGCCGCTCACTAACGTCCACCGCTGGTTACCAACGGTGAGGTCGTATGTAGAAAAGCAGTAGATATATCACAAGAGTCGTCGAATTATCATGAGCTTTCCCGCCAGTCCAGCAATTTCTAGACGATCGATATCAGTACACAGACAAATCAACAGACAGGTAGATTTCCACCAGGTCACAGAAACACACCTGTGAACTGACGTCTCCTTTAATAGTCACTAAGTCTTCAAAAAATTGTTCCCACGATATAACTTTACCACTGGACTTCTTCGAATATATTCAGTCAGCACACTACCAGTGTACAATTCCTTCGTCTTTTCACTTAATATCGCTCACAACAATTCCACAATACTTAGTTGTCACTAGGCTTGTACTTCACACTTTGCAGAAACGATCGACTACCTCCCCTCAGTCAGTCAGAACACCGAGATAAGAGAGCCGTGGCACTGAGATGAACAAGGAGATTTAGGGCAAGGTATAGTTAAGAAGTGGGAAGTACAGAAGGAGAATGATAGCAGATGGGCTTTCCACCTTGCGGAGGCTAGTTTGTGGTTTAACCAGTGCCAGACGTCCCTCAGTCCTCCAGGGGCAAGGGAGGTTAGAATCTAACCGTTAGATAAGCTAAGCTAAGCTGGTTTAAAGTGCCATCCCAAGGAAGGTGCTGTTTTAGGGTTTGATGGAGGGTCCCTTCAGGTCCTTGTGTTGCTGAAGGGATGTTCCTCATCTTTTGTGATTGTGACTGGGGGGTCCCGCCAGGTTCTTGTGTAACTGGCAGGATAATCCCCATCTTTAAGGTTATGCATGTGGTGTTGCTCTTTCTTGTTGGTTGTTTCTTGGAGGGTCCCTTCAGGTCCTTGTATAACTGAAGGGATGTTCCTCATCTTTAGTGATTGGGGGTCCCACCAGGTCCTTGTGTGAACTGACAGGATAGTCCCCATCTTTTCGGTTATATGAGTGGTGTTATTCTCTCGCGTATAATGGTTCCGGGCTGATTGTGTTAATGTTGATGCTTCTTGGCCACCAGCTGTGTGATATATTGTTGTTTGCCTGTAATAGTTCCTGTAAAATAGGGTCTTGTGTTCGGTGTAGTTTGTCCCATACCGCTTTTGCTTGTTTGTGTGTTCTTATGTTAATTGTGTCTATGTTATGTTCGATGTGTATGACGGCCTATGTTTTGCTGCTCTTCTTATTGCTGTATTTTGGACTGCTTGTAGCTTTAAGTGTATGTATGACGAGTATGTACTACTGTACATGTGTATGTGTGCCTAAGAAAGAGAAAATTGTCACATTAGAGAATTTTGACTACTGGCCACATACACACGCTATAATTGGTGACCCACAGAGTGACTCACTCACAGGACGGACGAGAAACGGATCTCTTCCAGTCTTCAATCACAACATTGAAGACTGGCCAGTACATGTGGAAGCAGCTCTCACCTGGTCTGTTCCTTTTTTTTCTTTTTTTTTTTACGGGGATTAGCCTACCTAGGCACAGGTCACTGACCCACATCGGGGCCTGTGGGGTGAAAAGGTAATAGTAATAATACTAATAATAAAGAACCATAATGAAATACAATAATGAATAAAAGATCAAAAGTGAGAAACAAAATATGTATGTTGTGTTGTAAATAGTAGGAGAAACAATTGAGACCCTGCAATTGTGTGTAAATGAGGCAGAAAGTCAAATCAGCAACAGCAATCTGAGACTTGGTCACAATTTTCGTGATGCCATATGGCAGCAGGGTCTACCATTAGACAATACATTATGCTTCCAATATCTTCCCAGACGGTAGTTCCTCCCTGTTTGGTAGCTGTCTACTACCTACAACCACTCGCTACATAAGTATCAGAAGTCATCATCAATCCTCCAGATGACAACAAATTCGCAGCTCTACGAGATGCTCTCAAGAGGCGATACCAGCGGCCTGGCACCAGTCTCCTGCAAGACTTATCAGGTCTCTCCCTCGGAAATTCAACGCCTGCACGTCTCTGGGACGAGATGCGGAGACTGAACTCCAGCCACACCGACAGGCTTCCTGACACTGTTCTACGCCAGCTACACGCTCAGAAGCTCCCTGCAGAAGTTCGTCTCGCCATGTCAGCACTGGACTATTCTACAACCTCTGCGACCTACGCAGCCACGGCAGACAGAGTATTCCATGAATACACTGCTGTGCGCCATGCTGCCGCGGACAACTCAGTGGCCACGCCATCACTTAGCTCCGGTCTCATCAACCGGATCAACGCTCTTCGGACGAGCAACATAGCACAAGACATGAGGGACCTGGTACATTCCTTACACCGCAGGACAGACACCCCCGAGCAGCTCTACTTCTCCAAGTCTGCTGCTGCTCCTGCCCCACGCTTTGTGTCCTGCCAGCCCCGATGTCTCCGTCATGCCTCAGACGCCGCCGCTAGACCCCAGCACAGTGCACCTACCCTCTGCTGGTACCATCAACGTTTCGGTGCTAACGCAAGACGTTGTGAGGCTCCCTGCAACTACTCGGGAAACAGCGTCGACGGGGATTGGTAGACACCACGACCTCCATCACTTCAGGCGTCTCACTGCTGCACATCACTGATCGTATTTCCGTCAGGAAATTTCTCGTTGCCACAGGGGCATCAGTCAGCATCATCCCTCTCTCACCGCAAGACACGTCAAAGCAACCCTCTTATGACCTATTCGCCGCCAACGGTACCCCCATTGCTTCCTTTGGCGCACTCATCCTCGCCTTAGACCTTGGTCTTCCCAAGACTCTGTGCTGGTCTTTCGAGGTGGCAGACGTCTCTCAACCCGTCCTCGGCTTCGACTTCCTCACCTTCCATAAGTTCGTCGTCGACCCAAGCAATCTCTGCCTCATCCACGAGCCTACATCACACGATTCGGGGTACACGTGATACGGTCACCAAAACCAAGAGTAACTGAGGACCTAAATTAAACATATTGATTTAATTTTTTCCATTTATTTGGACCACAGATAATATAATTAATTCATTGGAACTGTAAAGTGAAATTATGCTTGCCACAAACAGTAGGTTCCTAATCATATACAGTACAACAAATATCATAACATCTGTAATTTTTGTTTTTAAATTAATTCTATGAATCATTATTTTGTGATATATTTGAGATGCTTGAAAATAATTATTATGACAATATGAGCAACAATAATACAGAAGGTGTTAGTAATAAAAATCAGTCTTGCTTAGGTCATGTCTTCACTGTTACAAGATCTCAGGCTCAGGCACTAACCACTGTAGATAAAGCTATCTGAACATTTGTCTGGGAAAACATGTACTACATTGTATACATCTATATTTACTTCTAAAAACAAAAGAAACTTTGAGGTCAATACCATCCTTGGATAATTTATGATAACAATTATATGTAAAAATAAATGTCACTTACAGATACTGTGCCTGTATAATTAAATGTTTACAGTTGGTACACAAAATTTGACAATACAATATTCCTTAAAGTAGAAACAGACGTAAAAGTAAGAAAAAACGAATTTGGACTTCCTAGAGTTTTGTGAAAAGTTTTCTTACAGACAGTAGAAGAGTTCCATACAGACAGTAGCACAGCAGCAGAGTTCCTTACAGACAGTAGCACAGTTCTTTACAGGCAGAAGCACAGTAGCAGAGTTCCTTACAGACAGTAGCAGAGTTCCTTACAGACAGTAGCAAGGTTCTTTACAGACAGTAGCAGAGTTCCATACAGACAGTAGCAAAGCTCCTTACAGTCGCAGAGTTCCATACAGACAGTAGCAGAGCTCCTTACAGTAGTAGTTTCATAGACAATAGCGGTAACGTTGACGTTATACTGTAATGTTATTACTGCGCTTTAACAACTAATACTGTATAAATATAAGGTTTTTCAGCGCATAACAAGGTAATAATAACACTGGTCTATCAATTATTAAAAACTCTAGCGGTGAGAGGCTGAGTTGTTTACAGTCTTTGGAGCCACGACACCGTAAGTATCAATATCAAGTTGCAAACCCAAAATTTTTTTGTCATCTTATAATTCAAATAACGACAAGATAATTAAATGCCATCAGCACCTCTACACCCCCATCCCTCAGATGAACAATGGAAGAAAATTAATGCGGGAGTGATCAACTCTCGAAGAGGCAGTCTGGTGGATTGGCTGTAAAAACTATATTGTGTTTTCTGCTAGTGTCTCTATTAAAACATGGCTTAAAAATGTGTATCATTGGCTGGTGGACTTGTTGTTCAGGCCAGCACTTGTAATACATGGTCTGTCACCTCCCATCTGTTACAAACTATATTATCATATCAACTTATAGCTGTCGCCTTTACTGTACAGTATGTGGTCCAGCACATTGTAGAATGACACTCGGGAGAGAAGGATTACTTATGTTCTGGGCCTTGACATAACAAGGCACTGTACAGGGTGTATCACTACGTCAGGATTAGGAGGAACACCAGTGGATTGCACGGTAGTTAAATAACCAGTGTATCTTGGTCACAAACGCCTGGATTCAGCCAAATGGCTGCATAGTGTGGCCATGAGATCGAATATGTCCTTTTAGTTAATAATTTGAGTCGTGAGCATTCTTAATTGCGCTGTTAAGGTGAACTCACACTTCTTCCTTTGTTCTATTAGTCGTCTCCTTATTAACCTCCAGTAGACGTCCAAACCTCGTGAAGGCAGTCTGGAAGATACTCCACTTGATCATCATCAACACGAATGCCACCAACTGCCCCAGGAAGGGTACACCCCACACCAGCCAATGTATGGCAGTGTCGTGGTGTGTCACGATCTGGGGGAGCGAAAAACACAACCAACATATCGTGGTGAGTACTGTCGCAACTTTGTCCTTAGATACACTGAGGGCGAACAGCAGAGCAGTTGGTATTGGAAGAGTGCACCGAGCAACCAACTGACCAAAGCTGCCTTCGGACAAGGGGAAGGTAGTGTACAAGCACAAGGCATAGTTTAAAAAGAAGGGGGCAGCAAGGCCACCTATCATCCACCCCCAGTTGATGACAGCTGCCACCATGGCCATAGATACAATGCGTCCACCTGCAATATATAATTTATTAAAATATTTTAAATAAAATGACACACACTCTGAGTAGCAAACAACTCTCACAGGCATTTGAACCTGAAAAACTTTAGCATAGCATCTACAGTAGGGTCACCTGATCGAAGATAAAGGTATATGATAAAGATAGCAAAGAAATATTTGACTATGTTGGATGTGGTTAGCTTATATTAATTTAGTTAGGCTATGCTTGTTTAGTTATATCATGTTAGTTTAGTTAGGTCAGATTGGTTTAGTTCTGTTACTTTAGGTTATTATAATTTGCAAATCTTATTCTAGTTAAACTTACCTTTGAAATTCAATATAAAATCCTGTGACATAAAATACTAGCTCAAAAAGATATGACTATACAGTCAGAGTCAAAAGTAATTATCCACCCTTCCTACAGTACTACCACACCCGCCTTTCTACACGACAGCTGATCACAAGAGGGTGAGGGAGGTAGTGTTGGGGTAGAGCTATAAGGACGGCAGACCCTGGTAGGAAGGAGGGCGCAAGTCAAGGGCCACATACGTAGTGAGAATGTATGTGGCCTTAGAATTATTCTTAACACCTGAAGAAGGTGTTAAGGTTGGCGGAGGTAGCTTGATGTTGGCGGCCTTAATGACCCTGGCAGTTGATAGGCCTAAAGCGCAAACAACCAACCAACCAGGAGGGGACATGTCTGGGGAGGTGTCATGTGGACTTAACTTTCCCTTAGTTATCTAAGCCTTTACTTGAGATTCTGGGAAGGAATGCGAGTGAGCTTTTGGCAGATAATGTGTCATTAGGGATGATAAGGCATCTGGCTTCTGTGATGGAAACCCCTGATGTGACAACATAGGAGAGGACGAGGCGTGCCTTGTTCACCACCAGTAACACTAAATGAGGCTGTCACTTGGTAACTTTCATCTCTCACCACTACCGTTCTTGAAAAATAAGTCAATATTAATTGAAGAAAAAAATAAGAATGAAATATTCCTTACATCAGTTCCACATCTCGCCACTACCATTCTTGAAAAAAAAAATCACTATTAAGTGATAAAAAACAAAAAATATCAATGAATTATTGGACAGCATGTGACTTGTCCACCCTGTAATATGTTTATTAGGGATGTGAAAATCAATGTGAATGGTATTGGCCACTGCTCCACACTCTTCGATTGGCGAGTCGCGGGAAAATTGTCAGTTTGCGAACTGGGTGGCTACAACGTGTCAGAAATTGCAAGGGAAGTTGGGGTTACTTTGAGATGCTGGTAAACCCACTGGGAGGAATCTGGGAACGAGTATTTTGTATGGTTTGTTGGCATTTGATGTATTAAAATGACTAATTTTGGGTGTGTAATGTAAACAAAACACATTTGAACTCTTACTATGCATGAGATATAATTTCAGGCCGGGGAAACCATAATTGACAGGCGAGGACATTGGATGGACTATTGAGGTTCTGTATGACCTGCGTTCTGTATTCAAAATAAATGTGAGTTCCACCCTCGTATTCAATATTTCTCCTCATATCAACAGTGTTATAAATATCTAGTTACCATTGTTTAAAACCTGAACAACAACCTGAAAATATGATAAATAAGGAAATGGATGGTACATTATAATAATCATATGATATGTGTCCCTGCTTTCTTCAATCTCCACTCTCTCTGATGAGCAACTTGCATTGCATACCACACTCCCAACCCCCTTCCAAGAAACGGCCCTCCCCCAAATCGACCATTACCCCTTTCCACCCCTCGTGACTTACCATGCTGAAAGGACCTGGCCAGGAGCGGTAGTTAGGCGATGGAGTGGACGATTACTTTTGACAGCAACTGTACTTGTGAATGCCCAGGGTAAAGGTATGAAATAAAAATAATAGCATCACTAATTGAATGGTAAGCTCAGGATGAGCATGTTAATTATCTCGTATTTCAACAGTACCCGGGCACTTCAAAGTTCGCCCCCCCCCCCTCCTTGGCAAATTTCTGGGTATGCCACTGCCTCAGATAATCTGTGATGATAGCATGAGGGTCAGAGTACAGTACTGTAAATACACTAAGTTATTGATATATTTTACCGATGTTCACAGTACTGGAAAAGCCTGCAAGGGTCTTAGGACACTTTCTGCGACTAGTTACACTACTGAATATTTTATGTCATGTACAGTACAGTATACAGTTCAAGTTTGTTCGAGACAAAGAAAACGGAAATTACCAATTTGCAGAGCTGAAACACCTACAATTTAGGGATACACGTTTTTTCCAAACAGGAAATTTATTATTATTATTATCATTATTATCTAATGGTAATTTGCCTATACCTGTATCTGGTAAAATTTCCTTTTCCACTTCAGTTGTCGTTTACCATCAAATATACTGTTCAAATACACTGTCTTTTCTTAATTACAATACATTTAACAGTAATCCTGCATATGTTATTTATTCTTTCCTATCAATAACAACACTCGCAGTCTAAGAAGTATTTCATCCCCTAACAAGCAAATAGAATACTAAATTGCAAATTTGAATACATCATCCAACTGAACTAGCAAAAACTAGAAAATTTAGGCACATTCATTTTGTACGGCATCTATTGGCAGGTCCTGGACTATAGGGCGCCGCCAGTTAGGCGGACGCTGTACCTGAAGTCCCGAAGTCCCTGCTTAAGAAGGAGTCTAGGGCATGTATCCTTGGAATTAAAAATTAAAAAATTCTCTGGTGAGATCTGATGCATTTTGAGCATGAAAAAAAAGCGTAATTTATGTAACGTACTATAATTCTTTTTGAGTGAAAAAGGGTTCTTGTGAAACCTTAAGCCTTCCTTGAGGATCACTTTTACCATAACTTACACATGTTTAGGGAGACAGAGATAACAATAAAGACGAAGTCTCTGGTACGGGGTACCTCGTGCTCCTCCTCATAGGTTTCCTTCCACACGAAGATACAGACACCCAACACCGAGTGAAGTGCCAGAAACACCGCAGCTGCCATCATCACGCAAACTGTGAATGCAGGAACAACACATTTTAAACATATATTTGCTTTCAGATTATCACTGCTCTTAGGATATACTGTACAAACAAATCAACAATGAGAAAATAAAATTAAAACCCCTAACAAGACAGTACAGGAGATATATATAGTAAAAACGTTCAAGGTCACCACACAAAATTTTGATAGGATACAAACCCCCGCCGCTTCTTCCAAAATAATTTTAGGTAATTTGTTTTCAGTAAGTGGGATAGGAAAATATTAAACATAAGGGCATGAGAGAATAATAGTAACATATCTAATTTCTTTAAGATCGCGACCCAATAGAGTGGGACTTATTTGGAGATGGGTCTTACAGGATTAACCCTTTGACTGCAACTTATTTATTCTAGGAATGCCCGTAAAATTTAATTAAGTTTAGGTCTTAGGATATTAAAAAAAAAAAGAGGTTGTAGCCTGGTCAAAAAGGAGTCTTTTGATATTAAGTAAATTAATGTACTGTGATTAGAAACGCTACAGAAGCTATTTTAGTAGTGATCACGAAAAAAAAGAAGAAAAATTACGTTTCACAATCCTTATTCACATAGAAGCACCCAGAAGCACTTACAAACACATAGCAATACATTGAGAAGCACTGGGAAACATTTGTTGCACCGTATTGCATTTTATTACACTTTTTCCATTCACCTCTCTTTATTTTACCATTTTTGCACTCGGATATATTACGTAACGATTTTTTGACATGTTAAAAATTGAAAACTTATCTAAACGGTGAATTTTCTGTGACGTTTTCCTAACATTCCATTCAACGGAGTATTTCTTTGTAACACAGCTGCAGGAATGTCAACACTTGTTAAGAGTAGGGTTGCCATATCTGAACATTAAAAAAAGAGGACGTTCCCGAAGACATCCCCCCACCCCCGCCGCCCGGCACACACTTTGGCGCTATGTAACCTTGAAGCAGCCGTGACAATTAATTTTGCATATTTGCATAGCATTAATATATATATATATATATATATATATATATATATATATATATATATATATATATATATATATATATATATATATATATATACACACCAGTATCGGTGTACTGTATTGCATTGCGTTTTTAAGGTAGGCTAATATACAACATACATGGTATAGAAATCTTAAAAAAAAAAATTACCTTTGCTTAAGGCTGAATATCTTCTTTAGCTGCAGTCTTCTTCCCCCACTGTGTGTATGACTTTATGTGCCCATGCATACTTTTCTGTAGATCGGATCTTTTTCAGTATTGGCTGATTGCTCTTTAGAAAGGTATAGAAGTCACTGCAAGATGTTTCTCGGAAGTTGTACTGTACAGTCAGAATGCCTTTCATTGTTCCAACACTCAATTTGTTCCTTTCCTTTGTCCGTTGACTTTGCATCAGTGAAAAAACTCTCTCTACATTTGCATTGTGAGATGATATAGCTAAGAAGAATTGTGCAATTCTTAGCAATTCTGAGTGGCATTGAAAGTTCTTTGATTTTTCAAAGTATCTGGTCCACTTTTTATGTGTTGGCAGATTACTAAATTCTTCATCACTCTTGTAATTTTCCACAAACTGCTTCAGGTTACTACCTTGGTCAAAACACTAAACATCATCAACTTCTACCCCCTTATCAATCAAATATTTGACAGCTAAGTTGACAACACCGTACAGGCGTACACGTGACTTATCATCTGACGAAAACTGAACGAGATCTCTACGGTTTTCGCCTCCTCTCTCTCTCTCTCTCTCTCTCTTGTCATTACAGTTTCGTGTTTTTTTTTACACGGAGAAAATGATGGAAGCTGAAGTTCCGGACTTTTGAAGAATTTTAAAAATTGCTTCCGGATGAAGATTTCGAGACCTAAATGGAGGACATGTCCGGGAAAATACGGACGTATGGCAACCCTAGTTAAGAGAGATTATGGGCAAAAAAAACACACTGGCTCTGTGACTGCTACTGTCCTTGGTTTGTTTTAACCATACAACTGTCAGAGTTGACGTTATAGTACAGTATTGTACTGTATGTACTTGACGCTGCACGCCGTCTGCAACCGACAACTTGCTTTGGTACAGTTGCGGAAATGTGTTCCTACCCTTCCCTGTGGGAATCCGTGTCTCCAAACGGCCAACCTACTGTATATGAACTATAGCAGACCAATCCGCCAATCACGTCCGTCGTTACATGACCATTACCCAAAGTCTAATTAAACCAAGTCAACCCACGTACAAGAGGAGGTGCTAATTATGTGACGTCATAAGGGCCGTAGTCGAAGAAAATGAGAGGACTCGCTTATTATTACGGGTGAGACTGTGGGGTTTCGTGATGTGGAATAGCACATAGGATGGAGGTGAGAAGGGAAACTCAGCTATAGCGGGTTTTTTATATAAATATATTGTAAGTACAGTGCGGTGCTAGGGAGTTGATGTGTGGTGAGGAGCTTGCTGAGAGGATGTGTTGCGGGGCTGTAGGTTGGAGGGATTTGTCGGCGAGGTTGAGAGCTTATATGGGTGGTCCGTCACTGATAGCCGACCACGCTCTGTCAGACCACAAGGCTTTGGCTGGGAAACTCAAAAGGGATCGGCTGGTCAGCGACAAAGGGCAGTGACAGTTGTAGGGGAGAGTATCCACTACAAGACCACCCCACTGTATTGGAATATACTCTTGCCATCTATCCTGATATTTTCATCCCATAGCACACTATGTTTCAGTTAGCCACTTGAACTTCTCATGTAATCATTATTTTTTTTTAATATTCCTATTCTTATAATAAAAAATCTCTTATAATTATTATTAATAATCCTCTTCTTCCTCTCTTTATGATTTTGCAGCCAGTATCAATGTAAAAGCAATTAAGTAATCATAGGCATATGGGTTAGCTATTTACTGGAGAGGGGGAGGAACTTGCCCTGAAAATTTTGAGGATGACCTGATTTCCATGTAAACAATGAAGCAGGGTTGAAGCACGGTGGAGACAAGGTTGATGCAGGGTGGTAACAGGGCTACGTCTTTCCCCCTCCCCCTTTCCTTCTCTCTCTCTACTACTTATTTTACTTTTATCCTCTTCCCCACTGATCGGCTCCTTAGCCGCTTGGGTGGTCAGTCACGTCTCTGTTACGCACTGTTGGCAAGTCTCCGATCCACGCTAGGACACTTCACCCGAATCCCGTACCCTTCCAGTTTAATTCTCGTCTTGTAATGGGGTACGCTGTCGAGAACCTTGGCAAAATTTAGGTATGTAATGTCGATATTGCCACCCAGTTCCAGAATTTGGGTCCAAACATCCAGTACCTTGAGTAATTGTTAAACAGGAGCGCCCCGGCATAAAACCGTGCTGGCAATCCTTTACAAGGTTGTTTCGTAGTAGATATTCCATCATGGCATCTCTTATAATGCTCTCAAGTACTTTACATACTATGCTGATCAGGCTCACTGGTCTATAATTATTCGGAGTGACGATCGCCTTTCTTGAAAATAATAAGCACATAAGCTATTTTCCAATCACTGGGGACCTTTTGCTCATCCAGGCATCTACAGAACAGGGTCTTCAGGAGCTCAGCAAACTCATAATACAACTTTCTTAGTACCCTGGGATGCACCATATCAGAGCCGGGACTCTTATAAACCTTTAGCTTTCCCGATTTATTTCTTATAACCTTTTCTGTGAACACAATGCGGGTCAGTGCTGTGTCGAACTGTCTGTCCTCAAACACAGGAAGATTGATCGTATCCTCTCTTGTGAAAACCGAGGAAAAGAAACTGTTCAATACCTCCGCCTTGTCCTAGTCAAAATCTGCGTAGCCGATACTCCTACTCGCGTTTTCAATTTCGACTTTGCGTAGCGGTAAAACACTTTTGGGTTTGAATTGACCTCACACGCAATCCGCATTTGGAACTCTTTTTCAGTCCTTCTACACTCTGGCTTTGCTTGGTTCCTGGATCTGGCATACATCCACCTGTCCTGCTCATCGGTTGTCTTAAACCACGTCTTGAATTTCTTAGTTTTCTTTTTAACTTTGTCGACCGCCGCATGGTTCATGTGTAACGGTCTTCTTGTATTCCTGGAGGCACTCGGTTTGGTCTTGGTTATATATTTATCCATCAAATAGTTCACTTTACTGGCTATGATATTTAATGTAGTGTCTGCGTTCTTATACCTTAGTGCAGGGGTGGCAAACCTTTTTGAGAGCGTGTGCCGAAATTGGCGATAATATTCTGAAAAATTCTCTCGCGTGCCCGTGGGAATTTTGAGCTGAAGATTATTATTTTCAAGCAAATTTACAAAACCTGCTTCTATACCAATCATGCTAGGTGCACCATCAGTTGTCACGGAAACTATTTTTGAAAGATCAGCTTGTCGATTAGACAGTTCGTTTACTACTACTGCCTTACATATTTCAGCCCGTGGTATGCTCAGGTAAAGTTACCAAGCTAACCAGTTCTGTGTGGATGTCGGTCACACTAGAATAACCCGTTATAGTACACCTTTCATTCTTCACACAGCCAAACTGTGGAATGCTCTTCCTTTTTCTTTGTTTCCATACTCTTACAATCTGTTTCACTTCAAAAAGCTGGTTTTCCAGCATCTTCGTGGTGTAGATTAATATAGTCCTTTTCTATTCTATTTTTAATATCTTGTAGTGGACTTCTCCCCTACAACTGCCTACAACTGCGTAGCAGCTCACCACCTGCTATCGCATTCCAATGTGCCGCCTTCCCTAGCAACCAACCAGATGTTACCGTATCTTAGCAACGAAACTATTCACCGGCTACTTCTCGGGTTTTCCCACCATGACTCATAGCGGCTGCTGCGGGGTATATAAGCTCTGTCTCTCCATTGAGATTCAGTACTAGAGGAATAAAGATGAGAGTGACCAACCAGCTCCACTAAGAACCTGGCAGGCCTCTCCATACAGTGTACCTTTAGACTAACACAACTAACACTTAACTAACACCAAAAAAAAAAAAAAAAAAAAAAAAATGAGACTACCCTCCCAGTTACACAAGGACCTGGGCGGGCTCACTAACTCCAACAATAACAAAAATAATAATAATAAGCAGCATTATATAAATAAACCAATATTAATACAAAGGTCTGACGACCCAAGGGAGCAGAACAAAGACAAAACACCAATAAGAAAGATGAAGCGATCTGGTTGAGCCCAGATTCTTTCTACTCCTACTGTATTTCAGTTTCACCACTTTTTCTTCAATTCCTAATAATCTTCTTTCACCTCTTAACTAATGACTTCGTATCGTATCGAGATTCAGTCTGACCATTCTTCTTGAACAAGCAACACCTCCTCCTCTGCCGCTGCCTGGCTGCCCCTCGCATCTCCTCGCCTGCCTGGCGGTCCTCGCTCCCGCCGGCGAGCATGGCGACCCACCAGCTGTCCTTCCCTGAGCTTCCTCACCAACCAACTCTCATTCTGGCCCATCTTCCTGAACACGCAACACCTCCTCCCAGCAAGCTCCTAGCTGTCCAGCATTCATTCAACCAGGAGGCCAGCAACAGGCAACATCTTCTCTAACGAAGCTCCTGCACATCTACCTCCTACAACACGCTACTCACCGAACGTCTCTATTGAACAGCTCCTCACCACACGGCACCTCCAGCACCAGACTGTCTGTCATGTAACTTATAATATACAAGAAAACCACATTAGAGTTTCCTTCCATCCTGTGTGCTAGACAACATTAATATCTCGGTACCCCTACAATATTTTTACTCTTATTTCCCACCAATATCTACCGTACATAGAATTATTTTTTACTATTATATCACAGTGTTTTATTACCTTACATGCCCCTAACTTCAATATTAATCAAAATATTCTCCATAAGCAACCAAGATCTGCGTATTTTTAGTGGGAGAAATCGCTTAACCCCCCCTCCGGACCGCTGACTGTATGACGTCATACGCGGCGAAAGACGAATTTTCGACTCAAAGTGGGTTGTCTTGGTTAATTAGACTTTGCCAATACTCAGGCATTCATAAACAGTGATACTATTACTGCAACGTTGCCGTTTGGAAACACGGGTTACCACAGGGGGCGTAGAAACATTTCCGCAACTGTACAAGCAGAACCGTGAACATACAAAGATTGATGAAAAAGTTACAACCTACAGTTAGTGTGCAGTCAGGGGATTAAATAACTATTAGTTTAAATGGTTTAAAAAAAACAATTACAGCGTCGCTATTCCTAAATTACTGCGTTTTTTCCTTATTGTAGCCCAACTCCGCCTCACCAGATTTCAGAATACATGTACAAATGAAGAATTTTCCCAAACATGATAATATAGATACTGTACTCACTATCTTCATAAGCGACTTCCAAGTCCCACCACAGATCAATTATGATGTATGTCTGTAAATAAAACATGAATTTACAAAAGTTATTTAGTTATGCAGATTGTAGACAATGTTCAAGATTTACATTTGAGACTGGCGTTCGGATTTAACCGAACTGAATGTTTGGAGTTATAGCTAATAAAAGTTTTATTGCATCACAAGAAACTTTGAGGCAACTACTCAAGGACACTCTGAGATGTCTAAACCTCGTCCCTGCCGCTACGTTATAAATTTTCATTCTAAAACTTTTAAACAATTTGTAGAAAAAAACCTTGTTTTGATTATGTTTTTGCCTTTCCCATACGCGACAAATTATTATTTCCCGAAGAAGAAAGTTGAATAAACATTTAAGGTGACCTTTTAGGAAGTGAAGGAGAAAAAATCCTGATCTAAAGGTAATCTTTTAAACAGGGCCCACCTTTAGTGCTGCACTATAAGCGCTGACAAATGTCGGGCTGTCATGATAATTTAAAAGTTTCACTGAACATTTGCTGTGAAAAGAAAATTTTATCACTTTGAGGGTTCAAATATTTTATGAATTTAATTAAAAATACCTGTAAGTATAATTGTAGGAGTTATAACTAAAGGGTAAAACATCTAATATCTCCTGATTACCCGTACCATAATAGGGCCTAAACATAACTTTTATAGCCGATATGAATAGCAACAGTCTCACTTGGAGTGAGGTACAAGGACTACTGTACTCATAAAAGCATTTTTGAGCTTAATAGTTATATATATATATATATATATATATATATATATATATATATATATATATATATATATATATATATATATATATATATATATATATATATATATATATGCCAGGTCTCCAGTTTTGGACCGGAGTCTCAGGAAATTGATCTTTATCTCCGATCAGAATTGGGAAATCTCCGGATTATCACTGACTTCATTATATTTGTTTTTAGTTTATCACATAATTATATGATATAATAATTAATTTTCATCAGAATGATGATAATTAGCATGTTTCCACACTACATCAGTAACATGGATGGTAAGGACGAGACCAACTCTGCAGCTGACACATGGGCCTGTGTGGACAGGTTTGATTCCTGTACATCTTGAGAACAGGAGCGGCGGTGGAGGGTTGGGGGCAGGAGTGTAAGGTTGGCTGCTGAGTCGCTGACAGTACATTACTTTTACTTTTTCTACTTATATCCTCTTCACCACTGATCGGCTCGTTAGCCGTTTGGGCGTTCAGCCACGACTCTGTTACGCACTGTTGGCAAGTACTGGGCATGCAATGGCTCCTGAATGTAACTGAAACTGTTGCAGTGCTTGTCAAGTCTGGTGTCGTTACAACACTTTCTGGTAGATTCTTCCAGAGTTCACAACTCTCCGAAAAGTTTGCCCTCACAGTTTTCTTGACCTGCGGCTTCTTCAATCTTGAGCTGTGACCCCTTGTGGGGCAAGCGTCTGCCAGCTCCAAGAAAGGACAATCGACTGAGTAGGGCCCCTTGAGATGCTTTTACACCTCAATTAGGTGGCCCTTGCCCGTCTGTAGTATAAGCTAGGCAAGTTCAGGCGCTCCGATCTCACAGGGTAGTTGAGGTGCCGAAGTGCAGGCACCAGTCTGGTGGCCCTCCTTTGAACATTTTCAACCAACTGACAGTCCCTAGCATATCTCGGGGACCAGACGGGGTGACAGTACTCCAGATGGGGAAGCACTGTATATACTTTTCACACTTGCCAGATGATTCTGGTGTCATTGTACAGGGGTACCTAGTGACAGCACTAGGATCCCGCTTCCTCTATCAAGGAATAAACAATTGAAATTGAATTGAATTGGGGAAGCACTTCACTCTTGAAGATCGTACGAGGGACGGACCGTCTAGATATCTGAACGGCCTTCTTATAAGACCCAATAATTTATTTGCCTGATTTACCTTCTTCTCGCAATGGCCCGAGAACTTCAGCTCATTGTCAACATACACACCTCGATCCTTCTCACATTCAGTCTCATATAATGCAGTTTCTTCATCCCGTTGGGACATATGATACGCCTCCTTACCGTCTGTACGCCCCAGGTGCATCCTCTTACACTTCGTGACATTGAATCTCAGCAGCCATTTCTTCGACCATTCTTGGAGCTCACAGAGATCCTTCTGCAGCTCTTCACAGTCCGCATGGTTCTTGATTTCCCGAAATAAAATGCCTCAGCTTTATCCTGGTCAGAATCTGCGTAACTACCATCTTCAAGCCTCAGGTCTGATACTCCTACTCGCATTTTTAATTTCGACTTTGCAAAGCGGTAAAACGCCTTTGGGTTTGACTTGACCTTGCTTGCAACCAGCCTGTGGAACTCCTTTTCAGCCTTTCTACATTCTGCCTTTGATTGGTGTCTGGCTCTTGCATACATCCTCCTGTCCTGCTCATCGTTTGACTCAACCCACGTCTTGAATTTCTGGGTTTTCTTCTTAACTTTGTCGACCGCCGCATGGTTCATGTGTAGGGATCCCCTCGTATTCCTAGAGGCACTGGGTCTTATGGAGCTGATAATCCTTCAGTTAATTATTTGAAATATTGTTCTGTATTTACAAAGCTAAGAGAAAAAATCAGCAAATTTGGAAAGTTAATTAACTGTTACTGCCACATTTTGCATAACACTGCAAGACATGCATGTAAAACTTTGTCGTATGATGTGGAAACACTTGTCGTCACTCGTCAACATATTAAATAAATTCGCGTGTAGTGATAAAAAGGTTACTGAACTGAAACAGTGTTTTGAGTCGTACATGTTAGTTAACGTAAAATCAGACGATTCATATTAGGCTCAATAGCCCACAAAACATGTAGCTGTACCTTCTTTATTGAGTCCCCCGTCTGAGGCATCTGGTTTCTCATCACTTCAGGACGCCTGAGTCCTCCGTTTTCTCTCAATCTTAGAGCGCACCCGAGACTCCGGGTGAGCTCTTCGTTTGTTGGTGTGACACCAGTGTGTAAATTTTGGGCACATACACGTAATTATTATATGATACCAAGTAAACATTTATCTCTACAGCTTTGTCTTTTGATAATCAGTGACTGTTTCATATGTACCTGCCATATTTCCCTATAATTATTTGTTAGCAGGTAGACATACTATTAATTAGTTTTTTATAATATGTAAAATAATTTCTATTATTTGTACGCACATATTTATTTTCGAATAGGTAAAAACTAGTACTAATTATTACCTAGCCCTAGTCTTTCATTAATAGCTGTTTATTTTCAATCATGTTACATAATAATTTGTAAACAAGTTAAAACGAAGCTATTTATATTCGTATCTTTTCATGATTAATCAAGTACTTAATATTGACCTTAGGATATGTTCAAATACCCATCTCCTATGGCCTCAAAATTTCTGAAATTGGTCAAATTAAAAAAATATACCCGGGGTGTGTGTGGGGGGGGGGGTACAGCGCTCCCCAGCCCTGCTGTATAGGCTGTCTGCGCTCGCTAGAAAATCCTCCAGGTGCTACTCCGGATTTTAAAACCCTCTGAGCTGACAACCAATGACCTAAACGTAATTAAAAGACTTGATATAGAAGTGAATTGACCTGCAAGGTTGCCTGTAGAAGGGAGCCCGTGGTGGTGTAGAAGAGTCTCAGGGTCGCCACCCAGTAGTTCGCCGTCCAGCTGAGGGGGTTCTTCCACCACTCCCACGTCCTGTGTTATAAGGGCTGAATCAGTGGTCTGGCCAACACACACACACACACACACCTAACGCTGTCTAACCTTTAACTTGTCAATCATCAGAAAAAGCGATACCCAATTTTTCATCCTTGCTGACGGTTTATTACCCACATTATTGGTGAACTAATTATCTCCCTTCATTCTGTAGTTTACAAGGTGTAAGTAATTAAGGTGTTTCCTCTTTAAAACCAACTCCAGCATGGGGAAATACCATTACGTAATAGGACTTAAAACCACTATACGATAACAAATTGTAATGTGAGCAAGTTAAAAGTACATAACGTGAAACACGTGAGAACCTGTTAAAATATTCACAGGGCAGAAAAAAAGCTGTAATAAGATCTACGCCTGACGTCATAAGTGATTATTGGGTATGGAGGTCTTTCATTTTGAGGGTCGTAAAGTTCGTTGGGTATCAATAGAAATATGGATCTGTATCTGATATTTTTATTCAGAGAGACAGTGTGCTATCCAAGTTGGGTGTTTGATAGTCTATTAATTTAGAAGAATGAAGCCACATAAGAAAAAAATATAAGAAACAGTGCAGAGAGTAGCTGACTTTTCTTAATGGAAACAATCACACTTGTAAACAACAACAACCATTACCACTACAGCCTACAGTACAGGTCTGGTGCAGCCGAGTGTAGGACAAAAGCCCCCCAGGACAAAAGCCCCCCAGGAGATAAAATAAGAATTTTTAAAATAATTATTTAATTTTTTTTACAGTTTATGAACACTTCTCTAAACTAACCTAACCTAACCTAGCCTTCGGGAATTCTGTTATAGTTATAAAGAAGTATACAAGGCATGTTTATTAAATCTGCAATGACGTTATGTTCTGTCTACTGGGGTAATTACTCCCCTGACATTCAGTGACCTCACTGGGCCCTAGGGTCACCTCAGTAAATACAGAATGAACATGAAGGTAAAATATGTCGCCTTCTTTTCTATTTATTTAATAATGTTCTATATCAAAATTGAAAGTTATAATATTCTAATTATTTAAAGTGTAATATTTTCACATTTAAATCTATTTGTTTTTAATATTTCTAATGACCCTCTCTTTAACATAAACACAGGGGGCTTCTGTCCTATTTTGCACTTTTACTGAGGGGCTTTTGTCCGGGCCCCGGTGCAACCATTGCAAATTTATTCAATCTAGCAGCACTAGCACTCAATATTCAGGACAAAATAAAAGATAGATTTAAGTTAAATAAAATTATATAAACAAATATCCTATTAATACTGTTTATGTCATAAATGTATTTAGTTTGGTACGATCATGTCTTAAATACCAGTTGTTCGGTCTGTTATATATATATATATATATATATATATATATATATATATATATATATATATATATATATATATATATATATATATATATATATATATGTGTGTGTGTGTGTGTGTGTGTATGTGTGTGTGGATCATGTAGCTCCACAATAGAAACGTGGACAAAATAAATCTTGACAAATCCACACAGGAAAGGGAAACAATGGAGATGTCTTGAATAAAGACGAAAGCTAAGGTGTTCATTGTTTCCCTTTTCCTTGTGTGACCTTATTAAACATGAGGTCAGGTCATAATCATGACATCCACTAATCCGCACACGAACACCAACACACACATAGAGGAGCTTAAGAGAAAGGACAAGGTGATTAGTCAAGTTAAGTCAGGTAAAAAATATGGGACTCACTAAATATCTATCCTACATCTAGCTCCAAGGTTTTCAAAGCATTTTTAACCTTGTTGATCATTGTTTTAAAGGGGCTAAAAAATCCTTTTATTCTACTCAAACCAGGCAAATTCCTACACTTAAGAATATTTTGACTGCCTTATCGCAATGAATTTGTCCCGTTAGTTCAGTCCTTTAAATTATTAAATATTAAAGTTGTATAGGAATTTGAGATAAATTTTTGTTAAATGGTAATACTAAGAGATTCTTATTGTCATGGGTTGCCATCAGTTCTATAAAAAAGATTTCTTAGTATTGTTAAGGCATTTGTCTATAAAAGACCTAGGGTACTTAAGGTTCAAGCCAATATTATATATATATATATATATATATATATATATATATATATATATATATATATATATATATATATATATATATATATATATATATATATATATATATATATATATATATATATATATTTTTTTACGGGGTTTGGCCCACCCGGGCACAGGTCACTGACCCACATCGGGGCCTGGGGGCGAAAATTGAATAATAATAATAATAATAATAATAATAATAATAATAATAATAATACAAATAATAATATTATTAATAATAATAATAATAATAATAATAATAATAATAATAATAATTATAATAATAATAATAATAATTCATAGTAAATACAATTATAATATAAAATACAAAATTGAAAATAAAACAAAATAAAAATTATAATAATGTAGTAATAATAACAAAGAACAACAAAGAAATAAAAAAATAAAATAAAAAGTGAGAAACATTATATGTATGTTGTGTTGTCAATAGTAAGAGAAACAATTGAGACCCTGCAATTGTGTGTAAATGAAGCAGAAAGTCAGATTAGCAACCTGGGACTTGGTCAATTTTCGTGTTGCCATCTGGCAGCAGGGTCTACCATTAGACAATACATTATGCTTCCAATATCTTCCCAGGTAGTAGCAAAAACATAGATGAAAATATTGACTATTTGACTCTATTATGGTGGGCAGAATAATAATGAATGTATGAACACATTAATAGGTTTCCTATAAATACTGAACTTAAAGGTGTTGTTTATTCTGTGGATCAGACAGTCTAGGAATGGTAATTTGCAGTCATTCTCTAATTCCACAGTGAATTTGATGGAGGGGACTAAGTTGCTAAGTTGTGGTAGAAAAGCTTTTAGGTCCTCATTACATGGCCAAAGACATTGTAGTGGACGTCTCCCCTACAACTGCATAGCCGCATTCCAATGCCACCTGCTATGTCTTCCCTAGCAACCAAACGAGCGGCCCAGGGGAGGGGCGTCACCAGATGCCACAGTATCCTAGCAACCAGCCACCAGCTGCTACCGTTCCCTAGCAACGGAGTCAAAAGACCTGCGACTTCCCACGGTCTACTTCCGGCGGCTGTGTATATAAGCTCTGTCTCTCCATTGAGATTCATTCTGGCCTCTCTTCTTGAACACGCAACACCTCCTCCTCCGCCGCTGCCTGGCGGCCCTCGCTTCTCCTCCGCCTGCCTGGCGGTCCTCGCTCCCTCTGGCGAGCATGGCGACCCACCAGCTGTCCTTCTCTGAGCGTCCTCACCAACCAGCTCTCTCATTCTGCTCTCGGTTCCTGAACACGCAACACCTCCTCCAAGCAAGCTCCTCGCTGTCCCGTTCTCATTCAACCTGGAGGCCAGCAACAGGCAACATCTTCTCTAACGAAGCTCCTGCACATCTACCTCCTTCAACACGCTACTCACCGAAGGTGTCTACTGAGCAGCTCCTCACCACACGGCACCTCCAGCACCAGGCTGTCTATCATGTAACTTATATTATATAAGAAAACCACCACCTTAGAGTTTCCATCCATCCTGAGTGCTAGACAACATAATATCACGAAACCCTACAACATATTACATCATCTACATTTCGAAAGCGCTTAGGAACTTCGTGTTTTTTGTTTCCTTGTGGTTATCAGCATACACACACACACACACACACACACACACACACACATATATATATATATGCAAGTAAATCACTGTAGGTGCGCGTGATCTACAGTAGGTATATGCTGATAACCACAAGGAAAGAAGAAAACGCTTGGGAACTTCGTGTTTTCTTTCCTTGTGGTTATCAGCATATATATATATATATATATATATATATATATATATATATATATATATATATATATATATATATATATATATATATATATATATATATTTATATATATACATATGCAAGTAAATCACTGTAGGTGTGCGTGATCCAAGTACAGTACTGTATATGCTGATCACCACTGCCATACATGAACGGTCTAATCAAGACTCACAAGCCTAATAACCCAGCAAGACCCATCATTAGCTCAGTTGGGTTAATCACTTACAGTATAAGTTATGTAAATGGTTAGTTTCCTTACTAAATCCCCGAGTTGGCAACATTTCTAACTCTAATATTAAGAATAATATGGATCTGGTTGATAAACTCAATAACTTACACATTAATTATGATTTTAAACAGGTCAGTTTTGATGTAGCATCACTCTTTACAAAGGTCCCAGTTGATGATTTACTGGAGCTCCTCACAGATTCCCTGGATAATATTTCATTGACCGTCTCGAACGATGACTTCATCGAACTTATCAAACTATGTATTAAGGATTGTAAATTTGAATTCAATGGAGAATATTACGCTAAAAAATTTGGTATGGCAATGGGTAATCCGCTGTCACCAGTATTATGCAACTTATATATGAAATTCTTTGAGAAGAAACTATTAAGTAATATTTTACCACCTTCAGCAGTCTAGTTTAGATATGTACAGACTGTACTCACCCCTGAAGATGTGAATTACACGAAAGCGCTTGGGAACTTCGTGTTTTCTTGTTTCCTTGCGGTTATAAGCATATATATATATATATATATATATATATATATATATATATATATATATATATATATATATATATATATATATATATATATATATATATATATATATATATATATATATATATATATGGTGTGTGTGTGTGTTAACTTCTATTAAATTAAGGATCACTGAGTTACCAATTAATCTAGACTTCAAGAAACACTTACCAGACCAGGAAAGCTTGGGAAGGGATGAAAAGGAACAACACTTTTTGTATCTTCTTGGGCCACTGGCGCTGCTCCATCCTTGGCTTCTCATGCCTGCAGGCACAAGACATCACAATTATTTTCATTATCTATAGTCCCATCTTCGTAAGCACCCACCAATTCTGCCTATCCAAGAATTGTTTTGGTTAAAATTATAATAGCAATTCAGTATACTATATACAGCTGTTTTGGACACAGGAACAATTATTATTGCATTACCCAAGATACTTTATGATTGGAATAAAAAAAAATCACTAACCTGTAGAAGTTGAACCAGTTTGTGAAAAATCCACCCACGCAAAAGATGGCGATGGTGAAGCCTCCGAAACAGTTGGATGTTCCGCCATGGGTCAAGTGCACGAAAGCACAGGCCACTACCATAACGACGTCAAATACATACAGCAGTAGCACCACCAATGCCTGTAGCCGATTGGCTATTTTGCTACCGGTCATTTTGTGTGTGTATGTGTGTGTTTGGAGGCAGGGCAGCGAGGGAGGCTGTGACTAAAGCTGTTCTATTAATTATAATTTTCCCTTGGATTCCTGTACTGCTTCTCAGTCTTCTTGCTATTTTTTTCACTTCTCTTGGTCTACTTTTTATTTTACTTTAGCATTCTCTCCCTTCCTGTACGTTTTCATTTAATAATTTTAGTCCATCTATTTCTAACTCTTCTGTTGCTTTTTTTTATTTTGCGCCTTTTCCTTCTATTTGTTCTTCATCCTCTAGTTCTTCCCGATGATATCCTCTCAATTTGTTATTGTCTGATGATTCAAATTTATATCTATAATCCCTGAAACAGATTATTACATTAGTTAGGGGGAAATTATTTATATCATATTACAAGTTAATAAACTTGATGAATGGTTAAGACACTTAGAATATGAAGTTATCATATTTCAAAATGATTCCCATGAGGAATACACTGCTACAATAAAGCCAAGATCAAAATGCAATTTAGTTTCGGCTTCTGAGGTGGAAACCCTAAGCATAAAATGTGTCAATTAATTGATAGTGCTATGGTAAAATAATTTTGTTAATGATAACATATGTTACAATTACAGTAAACCATTATATGAAATTGGTAGATGAGATTGAAAGTACGTATAGCAGACACCAATTTTTTGGGGTACTCCATAAATCAGGAAACCAATGTTGATAAAGTCATTTTGGTACGAGGATGAGAAATTTAAAATAAAATAAAATATTTTTTTTGTCACAAATTATGATTAATTTTTGCAAAGTTCATTCATTGAGAATTAACTACCATTAAACATTACTGAAATCATCTTTAACACAGGTCTTGGATCATCAACAAAGGTCGTTGATCAACACTGGTCATCGATTGTGTTATTTTCAGTTTTATAAACCAACCAGTAGAGAACAAAAACAGAACATAACTCAGAATATCGCCAGTGTTCACCCAGCTCCTAACTTTGAAAATCGTCTGTTTTTCCTGCTAATATTAGCCATAGTTATTATGAAAACACCAAATGAAGGAAGGCTGATGGCTATCAGCCTTCCTTCATTTGATGTCCTTCTATGCAGAAACAGTTTATACTTCATTTTCTTACCTTTCACTGTAAATTTCCTGTTCCACAGAGTTGCCCAGATCTTACTGTACAAGACTACTGTTGACTCTCAGGAGTCATTTGTTATAATTTAAGAATAATCAGTTACCGATAATGTGTACCTCACTAGCAATGAGAGTGGTGGAATGCTAGGAGCAAACTACAGCACTTGTTAATTCCTAACTGATAAGATACAGCATGATAATGGCTAGTGTATGCCTGATAGTGTATCTCTGATAAGGGTCGTGCAATTTTTCTACCAATAATACCATGAGAAAGAAGGAGCTATCTGTACAGTACAGTACCATAATCTGTCTTGGTACTGTATCTCTGTTAGTCTGTCTGTCTGCACATATTGGTCCAAGAACTTTGGCTTAATGTCGTCAAACTCTCTCTCTCTCTCTCTCTCTCTCTCTCTCTCTCTCTCTCTCTCTCTCTCTATATATATATATATATATATATATATATATATATATATATATATATATATATATATATATATATATATATACTGTATATATGGTGAAGAGGATAAAAGAAAAAATCTAGGAAGACCATGCTCAACATCAAATACAGGTTGTGGTTCGTCAAATATCTCAGTGGATGGGACAAGGATAACTTTTGCAACTCGCTGTATGCAACAAGTTTTTTGTTGATGTTACCAGGAAGTAAAATTCCCAAAATGAAAGGGTATAGTATAGTCAGACTCCTGATAAAGTCCCTGACAAAGAGGACTACCAAGAGTTACTCAAAACTCCTGACTGTGTGGGCAATTTTGTCCTTTTCACCACCCACCACATGATGTGGGTGATATGGCCAGGTAGTCAGAGCTGGGACCGAGCGTATTTCCACCAAAAGATCCTCACCAAGTGTATCCAAGCCCGTCCTTTAGGGGGGGCGAACAGGGGCGACCGCCCGGGGCCCCGTGGGGCCCAGCACTAGACCCAGTGACCTTGGACACATAACCTGTTGACTGGTTAATGTGACCTGATGGCTTACGCCACCATCGCAACCGTGACCTTACCATCCATAGCGACAGTCCCAAGGGGGGTTGGTGAGGGTGGGTTCCACTGACCGCATAATCTGACTCCATATATATATTTTCTGGGGCCCTGCAGTGGCTGAGTTGCCCCGGGCCCCGCACCCTCCTAGGGACGGCCCTTAGTGTATCATTCCATTCCTGAAGAATCCTATGTTCTAGTCGTCAAGGCAGTGACTTTTCTGCACGACAAAGCCCCCTGCATAAAGGCTGTTTAAATACAGTGTAGTGGATTTCTCCCCTACAAACGCTGTTTGTCGCTGAGTAGCCGACCCCACGAATTCCCCAGTGTATGCCTCGTGGTCTAGGTCAACCAGCGCCGCCTTACATGACGGAGGTCAACTACTAAGCCACGCCTACCTCCGCTATTTAAGACCTGACCTCGTGGTGACCACCCTCTTTTCTACCTACACCAACCAGCAAGCAACACATCCTCCTCCTCCGCTCCTGCCTGGCGGCCCTCGCTCCCGCCGGCGAGCATGGCGACCCACAAGCTGTCCTCCTCTGAGCACCCTCACCAACCAGCTCTCTCTACATCACGCTTGTAACCACGCTGCCACTTCCCAGCACCAAGCTGCATTGTACATCCAATACAACATGTATACAGAGAGCACATTGTGAGTTTCCTTTCTCCATCCCATCCTGAGTGGAACCAAACATGACGTACCACACAAATGGTGACCCCCGGAGATTCGCACTCACACAGGATGGAGGAGAAAGAGATAACGCTATAAGTCTTCAAGCAACATGGAAGACTGGCTTATCCACCCAGAAGCAGCTCTCATCGGTTCTACAGCTACTGTCTCTACACAGCAGGTTAGACACCCTAGAGCAGCACTGCTTCTCTAAGCAGACACCAGCTCCTCTTCCTGCCCCAAGCACCACGTCCTACCGACCCCAACACACCCGTCCTGCCTCAGACGCTGCCCCTGGTCCAGCAGTACCCCCTGCCGCTCCTGATGCTGCCCCTGCTCCCGACGCGGCCCATGCGCCTGAGTGCGGACCCACACATCCCTCTTTTCTCCCTCAGGTACTCCCTGCTACTGTCCTGCACCCTGCTGCTGTCGTGGACCCAGCTGCTGTCACGAGCCCTCATCCGCTTCTGCTGACGCAGCCCCTGCTCCTGACCCAGGCCCACACACCCCAGCAGGCGCATCTGACGACTCTGTACCTGCCATGAGGGAAGCACAACATTCATCGCCTCCACACACCCTTTTTCTCCCTCTCTACTCTCACAGATATTGTGTATCTAGACAGTTGTCTCTAGTGACCGGCTCATCCACGCCATCGCCGTTGTCTCACATGAGGCATGCACCGCCCGTTCTGCCTCACATGTGCCATGCAACCCTGCAGACAACAAGTCTCCTACACCGCCTGGAGGGAAGGAGGGAGTATTGTAGTGGATTTCTCCCCTACAAACGCTGTTTGTCGTTGAGTAGCCGACCCACGAATTCCCCAGTGTATGCCTCGTGATCTAGGTCAACCAGCGCCGCCTTACATGACGGAGGTCAACTACTAAGCCACGCCTACCTCCGCTATTTAAGACCTGACCTCGTGGTGACAACCCTCTTTTCTACCTACACCAACCAGCAAGCAACACATCCTCCTCCTCCGCCGCTGCCTGGCGGCCCTCGCTCCCGCCGGCAAGCATGGCGATGCACAAGCTGTCCTCCTCTGAACACCCTCACCAACCAGCTCTCTCTACATCACGCTTGTAACCACGCTGCCACTTCCCAGCACCAAGCTGCATTGTACATCCACTACAACATGTATACAGAGAGCACATTATGAGTTTCCTTTCTCTATCCCATCCTGAGTGGAACCAAACATGACGTACCCCACAACAGCAGCTATTGCACAACAACATTGTGGAATTCTTCAGGAACATTGGGTGGCTGAGAAATTCACCAGACTTGAATGTGTGCATACATGTAAGAGCCACCATGAAGGACTGAGTGGAAATCTTGATGCTTGCTAAACCCTCATACTTTTTCAAGTCTCTTGTGACTTTGTACCGTTGCTGACTTGAAGCCCCTCAAGCACAAGAAGGCAACACCAACTACTGTAATGAGTGATTTTGAAAGGATGTAAAATTCAATTATCTGAAAGAGGATGCATTTAAGTTTATTTTTGTACCTCTATTCAATAGTGGAGGGTGCCACCACTCATATTCCCTCTTTTCCTTAATCAGTACCGTATGCCCGGATAATTCGTGGTCCTCTATTATTTGCGGATGACACCCTGGATGTACCCAAGAATGTCTAAGGGTAGTTTTAAAGTTGCAGGCATTTTCGGGGCTGGGGCAGGGAGCCATTTGTTCTAGAGACAATAATTTCCTTTACCATATGCGACGACTATTAGGTTATTTGAAAAGATAATCAAGGGGTAATTTAGAGTGAGAGTAAACATTCAATGTCATAACAGACACTTGAAAAGGAAAAAGTACAAGGCAAGTTCAACGTATAATCATGTTTTATTTTTATTACACATCAAGAGTAACTTATCTATATGCTATCACTACCACATTTTGAGTTCAATAACATTTTATTTTGTGTTGTTTAAACAAACACTTCTTTGCAGTTATTCATGATCATCTGCAATAATATCAACAAGTTCCATTTCCTTGGATTTTGCTGTGCAAAGATTTCAATGATGTCACTGACTTCCACTGAAATGTCTCTGTGGATGTAGAGGAGGCTGAGGCTAGACAGTCGTGCAGTCCCCATTGCTGATCTTATATTGGTCTTGATGCGCCTCATCAAGGCACTGAAGGACCTCTCAGCAGAGCAGGTGGTGACTGGCAGGGTGCAAAGGATGGTCAGCAACATCCAAATGTTAGCAACATGGTAATGGCATGCTGTAGAGCTGATGATGGAAGGGTGCCAGACTGCTGCTTCTGCCACCGGATTATAAGAGCGGGCAACATAAGCTGCCACCATTTAGGAGCTTGGGACTCTTATAACAACTTTTACGTTAATACTCTGACCTGAGGTAGCGTGACGTGAGAGGAAGACCCATGGGTACATGTAATTATAGTATCAAGCATTAGGAAAAGAACAACGGTGAATACTATAGGTGAATAATGGACCCAACATACAAATACAATGTTTATTAAAACACAAAAATGGTTATTAGAAATAACGTTATATGCACCAAATAGGAACTCCTGGTACCATACCTTCAGGCTCAATTAACTTACACCACGACTGGGTGTACACACACAATAACACACATAAACTCTCACAGCACCTTAGCACCATTAAAACCAGTGGCACTTGCCAGTACAACACTCAACACCCCAGGAGTAAAACTCAAGCGGCCGCCATGGGAGTCTCATCACCAAGTGGCACCTTCCAACAAACTCCGATAATTCCGGTGAAATAACACAACCACACAAATAGCCCTACTGAGCTATGGACTCATCCACCAATGATGGGGGCTGGTAGTTGTTGTGGGGCTTGATGATCCGGAGTCACCACGTGGGCAGAGCGTTAGGGGAAGTCTGGCCAGCTATGGGGCCCATAGGTAGTAGTGGAGCTTCTGAAGGTCGGGATTCACGGAGATAACCGATTCTACTGGTCTACAGACATCTCCCCAGACTAGTGGATGCGTCATCCACGCTACAGACACGGCCTAGACTGCGATAGGGACCTGTGGGTGGAGGATCGTGGCGCTTACTGCCTGTTGATATCAAACATCAACGTTTCAAAGGGACGTTAAGGACGTAAAAATACTTCACTCAGAGCACATCAACTACGTTACTCTAACACTTGCACAATCAAACTATTAATTAGGTCAAATAACTTAAAATGGCGGGTACAACATGTAGAAGGTGGAATGACCTTATACTGCCAGACTGGGGTCACTAATTCTAAGGGGAAGTACTTAATTCTAATCTTAATTTCTAAGGGTCGCTGCCACCAGACCCCCTCTAGACAGTATGTAGCTCGTTAGGTAGCGTGCAGAGTGGACTAGGCATTGGGTTAGGTTTTTCATTGACCAGATCGATAAGGGGAAAGAAGGGTGAAACCACAACATGTCTTAGTTCTTTCAACTGTTCCTTCTACTTACTTCAGTTCATTTTTGGTACTACCTAACCTCAGTTCTAGGCACATG